TTTTACTACGTGTTGATATTTAATGTTGAAGTGAAGTAAGACATTCATTGAGTTTTGAATCATCATTTTCTAAAATTTTGTAACTTATTCGTGTTCGTTTTACAACTAATTTCTTTATTTTGGTAAAAATTTCTTATTCAACAAGTGCTAGAGTCCTATTAATTAAGTACCTTATCTACCTATGCTCGTAGACTTGTCATTTTGGACCCGACCCGATCCGTTAATATTAGTATTTGGGTGGATGTTTAACGGGTCAGGTCGCTAATGGGTGAACCCGTTAACAACCCGTTAAATAACGGGTCACTTTGGGCCGTTAGACCCATTAGCATCCGTTAGTTGAGGATGTTTTAGTAATTTCAGTAAAGTCTTAATAACAAAAAAAAAACTCTATGCAAAAAAAAAATAATAATAATAATAATTGTTAACGGGTGACCCATTAGCTTAAAGGATCGGGTTCGGGTGATCCATTAACTGAACAGGTCGGATTGAACCCGATCCAAACCCGATATACCCGACCTGTTTACAGGTAATGCTCGTGTGTGTTGCCTAATTATTAATTCTCTGTACGTAAACATATTCTTTGATAGAACTGTAGAAATAGCCATCAATCCGAGCTGGGCCTTTGGAGACAATACTGAGCCCTATATGTGATTTGCCATAATCATGCTACTTTAAGTACATCATGTTCGTGAGATTATTTTGTGAATTATATCTATTGTTCTAAGTGTGTACTACAGTCTTTTAGTTTCCTTTTAGATTTTCTGGAGATGTTTCATGTTGATGTACTTGGTTGTCATGTGGGCAGAGTGTGGAGCTGACAAATGAGGCAATCGAGTTTCTGAAGGCTAACTTTGACTTGTATGACAATGATGGTGTATGTATTAGTACTCATCCATCCTAAATGCTACATTCTCTATTACATAAATGCTACATTCTCTATTACATTGTTGATTAATTTCCAATATTTTGTGTCATCAAGGATCTTCATTGCGATCTTCACTTTATATAAAAGTCTCTCTATCAGAAAAAAAGAGAGAGAAAAATGAGGATCTTCACCTTGATCTAGCCTTACAACCTCTTAGGTGCCTTAGTTGTTCTCCTAGTTCTTATAATCATGGACCTATATGTTCTTTCCACCAGGATGGGGCCCTCCGACCACGTGAACTTGAAGAACTATTTTCTACTGCTCCAGCAAGGTAAATTTTATTTATTAGTATCATTTCTGTTTCCATTTGTTTTAGTTCATTGCAACTAGTTTGTTTCTTTACTATGAGAGATCCTGTTTGCAGTTGTGTTTCCCCACGCTCCAGGTGGATATCTTTTCCACGTGGTTTTCTTTTCCCCTTTTGTAATTTCTTTCCCTTTTTATAAAATTCTTTCGTGTCCTTTCAAAAAAAAAAAAAATTGTTAAAGCTCATGACATTAGAAAATAGAAACACAAAAGTTTACCTAAATGTTGGTTTTCAGTTAAAAGTTTTGTCAGTAGAAGCTTCATAGTTCATAATGATGTTCAGAAGTTTGTAGTATTAATAACTTAATTTCTCAGTCTAGTTCACTATAATACCTAGCTTTGAAGATCTTGGTATGTTTTGATTTTTGGCGTTTGAAATTTCAGCCCATTTAGTGAACATCCATATAAGGATGCTGCAGAGAAAAATGCATTTGGAGGGTTATCACTTGATGGATTTTTGTCACAGGTAATATATCTCTATTTCTATCTCTCTGTGTTGGGGCAGGAGGAGTATTATGCTCGTTGTTCTTGATTCACATTAAAGATTTGTCATTCAACTCTCAACTTATAGTTTGTATGGACTTTTACTTCCATAGACATTCAGTCATGTTGGCACTTTATTACATTCATTACAACCAACTGTTATTCTTCTATGTGCCTAACTAACTTTATGACAAATATGCATAATTTCAGTGGGCCCTCATGACACTCCTAAACCCAGCTTCTACCATGGAGAATCTGATATACATTGGTTATCCTGGTGATGTTTCATCCACAATCCGTGTGACTAGAAAGAGACGTTTAGATCGCAAGAAACAGCAATCGGAAAGAAATGTTTTCCAATGCTTTGTCTTTGGTCCAAAGAAGGCTGGGAAATCTGCATTATTGGATTCTTTTCTTGGAAGGTCTGATTCAGATTGCTTCTCCATTTGACTTTAATTTTTTAAATTAAATTTTGTAACAATTTTTTTGACAATAACTGGAATTGCTGCAGGCCATTTTCTGATACTTATAATCCCACCACTGGGGAGCGTTATGCGGCTAATGTTGTTGATCAACCCGGGGTAAGTTGTACTACATGAAGCACCTTGTGTCTTGACAATTACATGGAATATACTTTCACTGGCTACGTTATCTAAATATAGGATCACCAAATTTTGTTAAATTCATGCTTAGATTTACCCCAAACTTCATTAATAAGTAATTTTGTATGCTTTCAAATCTAGTTTGATTGATGAGATTTATTTTGTGTGAGGTCTATTATTAGTCCTTTTAGTGGTTTGCTGATTTTCAGTGTATTTACACAGGGACCCAAGAAAACACTAGTAATGAGAGAAATTCCTGAAGATGGAGTTGAGAAATTTCTCAGAAATAAAGAGGCTTTGGCTGCATGTGACATAGCTGTGTTTGTTCACGACAGGTAAGCAGAAGCCTAAAATGGGTGTTTAATATTTCTTGAATCATGTTACTCTTCTGTTATCTTCCGTAGTACAACATGGGTGGTTGTTTCTCTTCTCCTATGTAAGATCCAAGTTTCTGTTTCTTGATTTGAAACCTTTATGGTATGTCTTTTCCTATTTGTTTTTCAATTGTGAAGCCATAATCTAATACAAATGGTAAATTTCTGATATTTTAATTGCTGGAAATATTATCGATAAACATAAACATGTGAAATGGAAAAAGATCCAAGTTTATAAATATTCATCTACGTTTCTGTTTCCAGGATAGCAAGAGTGCCTTGTTGTCAATAATCCGAAAAACAGAAATGTACATTGTTGACAGTGACTTGTATTTGTAAATTATACACGCACATGTTTATTTACCTCTCTCTTTGGGTGCTGCCTGTTGTTGACAACCAATCGTAGGTTGACTCAGAGCATTACTTCGGCATGCATACATTTCTTTCCCTACTGTTAGCAATATCTTACTGTTGAATTATACCTCTTTAATGGGTGGTGTCTTTTTTCTTGCTAGTTCTGATGAGTCGTCCTGGAGGAGAGCAACTGAGTTGCTGATAGAAGTTGCTAGTCATGGTGAGACTACTGGCTTTGAGGTACCTTGCCTCATTGTTGCAGCTAAAGATGATCTGGATGCATTCCCATCGGCCATTCAACATTCTACGAGGGTATGTCTATTTATACATTAACCATTTTTTTCCCTTACTTTATACTTTTTGCAAGTAAAATGGATTTACCTGGTCAACCATTAGTTTTGGTTACAACTATTCCTGAAAGTTTTGGTTACATTAATCATTGTTGTTGTGCCTTTAGATTTATGTTTGCCCTTTATATATAATAGTCTGCTCAGTGTGTATACAGTTTATTCTTCTCTCTTTTTCTCTTCCTGTGTGGGGTTATCCAAAAATAGTTGAAAGCTTTCTGAAGTTTATTTCATTGGTATTCAATGCAAGATGCATTTTACAACATTTTGACAGCATTTCGTTCTTTGACTGAGTTAATTGAAGTTTGTGTGGGTTATTGTGCGTAGTGTTTGAAATAAGTCTGGTTGTTTTGAGCTTGGCATTCCTTCTTTGCATGGCCATCTAATTGGAGTTGTACAACTATATTTGATGTCAATGCATTCTCTTATCTAACCTAATAATTGACATATTTTTAATATACTCGTGCAGGTTAGCCAGGATATGGGAACAGAGGCTCCTATACCTATCAGCACAAAGTTGGGTGATTTCAACAATGTATTTCGTAAAATTGTAACTGCCGCGGAACACCCTCATCTGAGCATTCCTGAGACTGAGGCTGGAAAGACCCGCAAGCAATACCATAAGATCCTTAACCGATCTCTTATGTTTATTTCAGGTATGATGATCTTTTGAATTTTAATTGTCTTTATATGGTACTCAGTCAGTCCTGCTTGATGTGTAACTGAGATTACTAAAGACATGGGCATAATGGCATATCCTGCCCTTGGGTAGAGGGTGACTTCTGGGGTTCCACGCCCGGCGGATGCTATGTTTAAAGCTAACGTGCTCACTTTTAGGAGAAGTTTATGTTAGAAATGCACGTATTCAAATGAAATTTCAGTAATAAACAAAGAACGACAAAGCTTGCCACATTTTATGCGGAGAAAAAAAAAAACTTGGCTTCATCTGTCAGTTTGTTAGGGTCTTTCGTTTTTCAGTGATTATGATTTGTGTTGTGTAGTTTATGGAATTTGTGTGTTCTCTTCACAGTGGGAGCTGCAGTGGCCATGGTTGGAGTGGCGGCTTACCGAGTCTATGCAGCGAGGAAGAACGCCTCCAGTTAAAAAGGATTAAGGATGAAGTACCAGTCGAGTTTATCGGTTGCGACTGCTAGTTGCATTACTGCTTCATGAACTCTTGTAATTTTTATTTGGAGATTAAAACCTTGTAATTAACAAGATTGGTATGGTAGCAACTGGCAAGTGCTATTCTTTTGATCAATCAGGAATTATCTGGGTTCTTGTTAGCTTGCATTGCAAGGAACGAAATGGTGCAAGGTCCACTACTTGTTAGTCACGATTGGGCCATGTGCGTAGAGAGAGGAGTACAGCATTGATAGCGAGGTTGTGGAGAAAATGCTGTGTCAAGAGGAAAGAGAGTAAAAGGGAAAAAATGAAAACATTTTGTACTCTTTAATTGTTTTATTTATACCTTCTAATTTATTCAATTTAAAAGCTAAAAACAAATGAACGTATGTAGAGGGAGAAATGGGGGTTTGAAAAATAATTTCTAACCTCAATAAATGAATGTTCGATAAAATAATAACTTTGATTAAATAATAAAATCCTATTTCCAACTTGGGTTTATGTACTAAGAGGTTCTCCAACGAACATTAAGAATTACAAATTCAATTTAATTCATCAAAATCAAAACAAATTCATTGACAATTTTGATCTTAATTTTCTAGGTCTGAGGTGATGCTCTGTTTTCCCGTCAAACTTTTTATCATTTTCCCGCCACTCGTGGTCCCATGGCAACCATCTCCGATGACCAAGGTAACAAACTTTCCTAGCGTGCCAGCTAGATGTTACATCATCATTGCATACAACGCATGCCATATAACCCCTAGTGCTCCACCCATAAACCATTGCATATGCGGGAAAATCGTTCACAGTCCACATAATTGCTGCCCGCAAAATGAACATGTTCCCAGTACACTTATCGTACGTGCGCACATCGATAACATGGGGTATTCATCATGTATCGAAAACATGGGGTTGGAAAATGAGGATTGCGAGACCTCCGACTTCACCTACCCCATCTCCTTTTGTTGCTACATCTAGTGCATCTCAACCTATTAGGAAGAGGAAGAGAACTAGTAATGATGCTGATGCAAATATTGTAGTTGTTATCAATGAAGGTTGAAATAAAGCAGTTATTGAAATGAAGAAGTTAGGTGAAAGTTTTACTTTCGGAGAAACGAAAGCCAGGTTACCTTCTGAGCTTCAGGCCATGGTTCTCCCATACGATCAAGTGCTAAGAATTTCAATGAGGGGAGGATAAGGATGAGGAGGAAGGCTACGGGAGAGGAGGAGGAGAGGATAAGGATGAGGAGGAAGGAGGAGGAGGAAGGGGAAAGGATGAGGAAAGGATGAGGAGGAGGAGGAGGAAGGCTACGGGAAAACAAAGGCAGCAGCAGAGACGATGTAATGAATATGATAGAGTTTTAGGGTTTGTTTTATGATTTGGGTAGTGTAGATATTGAAAAAAGATAAGGGGTATTTTTGTCTTAAAATTTTATAATTTTGTGTTTCATATGGGTAGAACGAGTTGTTCTAAGAGAGATGATGAACGGAAATTTAAACAAAATTTGTTCTATAGGACAAAGCATCCCATTATCTTTGTCTCACTAAATATGAGACGAAACGTGTCTCATCTCATCAACCAAACGGTACCTTAGGGAATAAAAAGAACTCTTCAGGCTGGCAATGCCCCAACTGCATTAGGAGCTTAGGCCATCTCCAACCGAAGGGTCCAGAGGGCCAGAGGGCCGAAAATAGCCCTAAAACCGTCTCCAACCGAGGGCAAGGCCAGAGGGCTCGGGAATCTGGGAGGGCCCCACGGGATCGGAGAGGGCTGAAGGGCTGGAGGGCTGGCTGCTTTCGGCCAGCCAGCCAGCCCCGGGCTGGCTATTTTTTTTTTAATGTTTCTTATTTCTGTCGGTTACAACCGACAGAAATAACATTTTGAATTCAAACTTCCAACGGCTAGCGCCACTAGCCGTTGTAAATCCTTTTTTTTTTTTTTTTTTTATGAATTTAAACCTTTTTTTTTTATGAATTTAAACCTTTTTTTTTTTCTTTTTTTTTTCTATAACTTCCTATAACTTCTATTTTACAAAATTTGTTTCAATTTTTTTAATTCTATTTTTTTTCCTATAACTTATATTTTACAAAATTTGTTTCATATTTTTTTTTTAAATTCCATTTTTTCCTATAACTTCTATTTCACAAAATTTGTTTCATATTTTTTTTAAATTCTAATTTTTTCCTATAACTTCCTAAGCCATTATACAACATTAAATTAAATTAAGTAACATGAAACAACATTAAACAATATGAAACAACATTAAATAACATTAACCGACATAAAAATTATACAACACTAACCAACATGATTTTTAAATAAAATTAAGTTGTAGTTTTTAAATAATAAATTATGTTTGGCCCTATGGCCCTTTGGCCCTCGGTTGGAGACGGTTTTTTTTGACAGGGCTAAAACGAGCCCTCTGGCCCTCGGTTGGAGACGGAGGCAAATATGGCCCTGTACTGTTCATTAAAATATTAATATCTTGGAGAATCTTGGAGGGCCAGAGGGCTAAAACGAGCCCTCTGGCCAGCCATCGGTTGGAGATGGCCTTATCGCCAAATTGGTTTTACTGTTTTAGGTTCTTGTACGGCCTGGATCTGGATATCTTTAAACTCTATTATTTTCAAAATAAATGTTATAATATTATTATGGATTATACTTTCTTCATTTTTAGTAAGCAGGTCTTTCTCCATTAACGTGACATCATTTTAGCGTATAAACGTTATAATTGGAGTTGTTCATTCATTTTATCATCTTTTAAATATTATTTCTTGACGAATTCACTTAATTTGGAGACCGTTTAGTCATCCATATATGTTTATTGTTTTTTTTTTTTAAACAAAATGTTTATTGTTTAATTACATGTTAAATTACTGGAGGAATTTTTATTAGCGAAATGGAAGATTATTAAACTCAATGATTTTTTTTTAATATTTCACGATTTGTTACATTAATAGGTTTTAATAACGGTAACCCCTTTAACAATGATATTTTGAGCGGAAACGCAAGTATTATCCTACCACGCATTTGTGAGTGCCTACTTGGGCCAAAAATGCAAGATACGTTTCTAGCATTTCGAACTGTCTACCTTAAGCCTGTGTTTGGATTAACTATAGTTCACACTTTTTTATATATTTTGGGTCAAAGTAATCCACCTGATTAAAGTAATAGTTTAATTAATTGGAAATTGAGTAAATGTGGTATAAATATTTTTCCAATATACCGTATTATTGTGAGCGGATCTCTATCTTCACTTCGAGAAGTAAAATACATGTTATCAATGACATAACTATTTTAACCACGAGCTAGTAGTCTAGTGTAAATAGCGGATTACGAGGTTTCCTTAAAACTAAAAACTGGAGGTTTCAGATTCAAACCCACTGTTGGTGTGGAAGCCAGACTTGTGGCCATGAGAGGCTAAAATGTCTCTATGAGTCTTCCTAACCCCTGGAAGGGGTAGATAACCGTGACTTGCCATCAGTTGTTCCCCTTAAAAAAAATAAAAATAAAAATGGCATAACTATTTTTTTTTCAATCCATGTAATATTTGATATAAGAGATTAAAAATATTCAAGCTCTTCTTTTTTTCATTAGTTGTTAGTTGTAGATATAGCTAAAGTGTCGTGATTTCTTATTTAATATTTTCTTTTCTTTCGAGCTTATGTCCCGTTGTCAACAAAAAAAAAAAGTTCTACTAACCACTCGTAGTTATCATGACTCTCTCACTCGTAAAAATAGTTCTACTAAGCACTCGTAGTTACTATGACACTCCCACAAACATGAGTGAATTTCACATATTTTTAGCAAAAAAAAATAAAAAATAAAATAAAATCATCCTAGTTACCTAAATTATCCGTATTCAAATATATAAATTTCATCACCGTTTCAACAAAATAAATCTTCAATAAGCTCGCTAGTCTCACTTCATAAATATATTGTTGTATTCTTTACGTTCTTCTGAAAGATTGAGTGTATATTTATGTGGAACAACATTCACTCAAGAGCCAATTCTTCTTCTCTCCTTCCTTGATTCTTTTTATGCTAAGACCTCATTTACAATGATAATAATTAAGACCGGAATTATAAAGTATCAAATTCGCTATTTATGTCATTGTATCTTTGTAAAGAAAAATTTAAACAATGATTTAAAACGCTCTCCATACGCTCGAGGATGCAATCTCATATATAAGCAAATATAATCTTCTCCAACGTCCACCCATGCAGACTTTCCCATTAAAACCCTTTCCCATATACGTCAAATTCCCCTTCAACTCCCCCCCCCCCTCTCTCTCTCTCTCTCTCTCTCTCTCTCTCTCTCTCTCTCTCACACACACACACATACATATACAACCCGAATGTACAAATGCTTGCTTCTTCACCAAACTATGTGAATATGGCTTCCAAGTTTTCTTCTTCCTCCTCCTCCTCCTCCTCCTATTCCAAACAACGAGTAGTCCTCTTCGTTCTCTATCTAATTATTCTCTCTCTATTCTTCCTATGCCTAATTATCTCGTTTAACTTTTGTCCCACCCGGTCAAATAATTGCGCTACCATTAGAAACCAACAGGTTATCAAGAATGAAACCAAGAACGAAAGAAAGAACGCAGATTGGTTCGTTGCCATTTCCAAGCTATTCAAAATCAAGGGTAGAAAAATTAAGGTAGGTTTGGTCAACGTAGATGAACACATTCATAGTCAGCTCCATGGACTATCAGATGTAGAGGCAGTCTCAGTGGCATTCGAACGCGTAGCTAGGGATCGAAAATGGAAGGACTATTTTCCCGAATGGATTGATGAAGACGAGAAATGGGGGAAGCCAAAGTGTCCGGAAATCCCAATTCCTAAGCTGGAGCATTACGAGGGCATAGATGTGGTACTGGCCAAGGTTCCCTGTGGACCAAATGGGACGAGTGACAGGGAGGGGATTAGAGATGTGTTTAGGTTACAAGTTAACTTGATGGTGGCTAATCTAGTGGTGGGTAAAGGGTGGATGAAGCCCGATGCTCATCGGACGGTGTACGTTGTGTTTATCGGGGATTGTGGACCGATGGTGGAGATTTTCAGATGTGATGATCTTTTGATGCATAGAGGGAATTATTGGGTTTATAGGCCTAATATTGGGAGATTGAAACAAATTGTGCATATGCCTGTTGGATCTTGCCGAGTTGCCTCAGGCTATGCAGAAACAGGTACTAATTAACTAACTATTTACTAGTTTAATCACAACTGATTTCTTCCTGCAGTTCCAAACATACTTTTCAGTCAGCTGATCGATTCTTATTACTTTTGTAATGAAAATCAACTGATTGGTTCTAGTTGATTTTAATATATATATATATATATTTCTTTCTGTAGGGTTCTGGTATTGAGTAAATTGTAGCTATGGTCCCTTAACTTTAACTCAATTGGAGCAATGGTCCCTCAACTAAAAATCCATTACCTTTGGTCCCTCAACTTATCAAAACGTGCAGCTATGGTCCCTCAACTAAAAATCCATTACCATTGGTCCCTGAACTTTAATTCAAGTGGAGAAATAGTCCTTTAACTTTAATCTAATTGTAGCAATGATCCTTACAATATAACTCGTTTTGACAAATTTTTTGACATAGTTGACGAAAATAACCATAATTATACACTTTGATGAGTTGAGAGACCCTAATTATAAAAATGGTCATTCCAACATAGCTTATTTTGACAAAATTTTGACAAAATTGATGAAAAGGACTATAGCTACACATTTTGATAAGTTGAGGGACCAATGGTAATGGATTTTTAGTTGAGGGACCATTGCTCCAATTTGATTAAAGTTGAGGGACCATTTGTACAATTTACTCTTCTGGTATTATAGCTTTGTTCCACTTGTGTATCATGGAAATTTCAGTTTAGTCCACATCACCCCTAAACTTTAGTTAGTGCCGATGTCCTCTTGCCGTTGTCATGTCAATTATTTCGTAAAATTGAGGGTTAGTTTCGTCCATTTTGTACAATAGACGCGTTATGTAGCAAAAATGCAAGTTTCAATTCTCCTTAATTATTTTTTCGTCTCCTAACTCAATTATCAAAATTCTAAGTATTTCTACTTTTTTGTGGATGTACAATTTTGTTGACGTATATGCTCCTCAAAGTTTGTCATTTTCATTACTCATAATTGACTATTAACAGCAAAATTGTGACAAAATCGACGATTGGGGAAAGGGGAAGGGAAAGGGGATATTGGCATGAATTGAAAGTTTAGGGAGGCTCAAAACCAAGTTGAAAATTTTGAGGACAAAGTGGAATAAGTTCGAAAGTTTAGAACGTTGCTAAAGCTTTTAGTTAAAAGAAGGGGATTTAATTTAGGGGAGTAAAATCTCACACTTATAACTGTTCTATACGGTGCCACTTAATTAGAG